CTGGCGAAGCGCTTGTTCATTTGGACAAATGACGGCCCTTGGAGCCTTCGTCCAAGGTCATTTCGTTTAAGGACGTTGTGATCGATATTCGATTCTTCCTCGTCATTCCCGGGACGATTAGCGGTGGCGCATTCGCGCAGCGAGCGAAACAGATTCGAACGTTTCAGAGAACCGGATGCGGTGTCCGCAGGTCTCTTCTTGTTGGAGATCGCGCCGTTGAGCGGCTAGACCTCACAGAGGAAGCTGGGGAAGACGCGGCACCAGCGTGCGACCTCGGAGAGGTTGGGTTGGAGTGATCCTCACTACCCATGGGCTCGTCGTAATCGACTTCGCCCTCTTCGAGTTCCGAGAACAGACCATCGTTCCCTCTGGGCGGCGCCCGCGGCTCTGACGAGCTTTGAGCTTTGCTCTCTTCTTGTTGACGGCTCATGGAGCGTTGACCGTGTCGACGGCGATACTCTTGGTGGTACTCCGCCACCGAAAGAGACGAAGATGCTCTTGGAGCAGTTGCGGAGCGCAGTTGGGGGTCTGGGACCGACGAGGCAGGGGCGGCGCGACGCGCTGGAGACGTTGAGCCGTGGGCCGGAGTGGGAGTGCCAGGCATCAAGGATGCGAACGCGTTTGTGAGCTCGTGGAGCTGCAGAACGCACAGGTGAGGTCTAGTGACCTCCGTCGTCTTGACAAGACGTGACCTCGCTGAGGAAAGTTCGAGAACGGAATGTTCTCATCTTAGTGAGGGAGAGTGTAACGGGGTTACATGGTGTGGAACACACAGGGGTACGAAGTACCCGGCGAGTTAACAAACTCTCAGTACATAAGTTGGAGAGTTAACAAGGTCTCTCAGTACGTTGGCTGAAAGCCACACGTTATGCATTTGATTAGGTTTAACTATGCTAGATAGTTAAAGAGATACATTTACCCCTAGGCGGCTTGGCCGCAATAATAGTAAATAAATCACTTCTGGTTTTGAAGCATAAAAGTTAAGGTGTTAACTTTGAGCCCTGGTCTTGGGCTGTAAGTGTCCTTTGGATAAGGAACTTAGTATTAGTGACTCTTTGAGTCGAACGTCTTCCTCTGACGCTAAAGCTACGGCAGCCCCGCTGCAATTCTCGTTCCTTTCACTTGGTTGCTTTGTTCGTCGTGTCACAACAAGAAGAGCGTCACTACGCGAGTGCGCTTGCATCCCTCCGCGCTATCTACGCTCGATTTTTGCGGAAGCCGATGGTAGTGCACTACATTCTTGGAGACGCCGACGGAGCCAGTACAATGCGATGGCATCAGTGTTCGAGGATTGTGAAACAGAGATTTTGATGTGCTTTTACCACGTTATCGCAAAAGTTCATGAGCGGACGAGGTATCTACTACCCGGTAAGCGTAGCCTGGTCTAGGCCGATATATTTGATATGCATTACGCAAGAAACGCCTCCAAATTTCATGCTAAAAAGACGTCTGCAGTGCGGCGGTGGCTTGCCGACCCAGATGTCGAGCGATTTGGAGAGTATTTTCTGCAGCAGTGGCTGACGGGAAAGTTTGTGAAATGGCAGTGCTTCCGTACGCCTGTTGGTTGGGCAACTACAAATAATCCCGTGGAAACGTTCAATGCCAAGCTGAAGAAAACCTACACTCTACGAGAGCGAATGCTAATGGGGTCTTTGCTTGGTCAACTTCAAGTTTGTTGTCGAATGGAGAGCGTGTCGGGTGCTGCATTCCATGAAACATCTACCGCTAGCAGCAGGCTTCGACGGCGCGCGACAGCTTTGCGCCGACAGCAACTGCTCGTTGAGACTCCATCCTTCGACGGCTCCAGCAATTTAGTACTTGTCGTTTCTAAAGCTACACCTCGAATCTACGTGAAGCCGAAGAGGAAGTCGATGGAAGTTGTGGATGTGGCTGTGCAACTTGGTGCTAATGCGGCTAGAATGGAAAGAGATGAACAGCCGGAGGAAGGATGGTCAGTGGATCTAACTACTCGCACTTGCCCATGTAAATACTTTTTCTACAAAGGCCATTTTTTACATCTTCTCTTCGCCTTTTATACAAGGTTTGGTACTGACCAACCTGGCAAGAAGAAGTTGTTCAACCGCAGCCGGCGCAACAAAAGAAAAACCTTAGAAGATCAGATCGCAGAAGCAGCCGAAGCAGACCAGTCCAAACGTGGACGTCCGATCCTTAACGGTCCTGCTTATCGTTGTTGTAGACACACGAAATGAATGTCTGCTTGAATATACCATCACTTCATCGCCTTATTGCCTTCTTCTTGCTATGTTTCTTATTATACGTATAGTGTCTTTGCGAGTTGAGCACACGGACAGCCAATAAGGCTGATGATGACCTCGCGTGGGATTTAGTTCCCATTAAAATGTAGTAAGCATATATTGTGCTCTTAAGCCGGTTAGTCTTGCACAAGGATGCAGTGAAGTCTGTTGGATCTACCCTCGCGTCTCCTCATGTCGATTTTCCGCCGTTCAGCTGTTGGTCTGATAGCCACAAAGATATAGTTGATGTCTCCGATCTTCACTGTGGTCTTGCTGCTGACGTCCACTTTGTTCCAGTATTACCATATTGTTTTCCTGCGAATGCAGTCTATAAGATTCAGTTGCTACGTGAAACGAATACGTACGTTAAGCCTCTAGAGATATTACTTTGAAAGTCTGGCATTACAAATCCCTTACTCTGACAATACGGATCGCTGACTCTGACAATACGGATCGCTTACTCTGACAATACGGATCGCTTTTTTATTTAGCTTAAAATAAACAGAAAAACAAATTAAATTGTGTATTCAGTTATTCACTGTCCTGTGCACTCTCCGCCTCACTCTCCCACTCGCTCTCCTCCGCGCGTTCTGCTTCTCCCACCTCCCCACCCTCCTCTTCCTCGACTTCTTCTTCGCTTGCGTCCTCACTTTCGTCGTCGCTCTCAGCGTCGACCGCATCATCATTATCTACGTAGAAATCATCATCGCTCTTCTCCTCAATGTTATCACTGTGCTCGACCTCGTCATTCACGCCGTCCTCGTGGTACACGTACGCTAGCTCTTCAGTGTAGCTGGATTTTTCCGGTTTCTTCGGATGGCGGCGGTGGTTATGCTGGTACAGCGCGTTTCGCTTCTTGAATTTCCTGTTGCACTTGTGGCAAATCCCCCCACGCGCATCAGCTTCTAGGCGCGCTTTCTTGGACTTGACCTGTTGGGTGTCAGCACAGTAACGGCGTGGTTGGAGATGAAGGAACAGAGTGTGACATGTCTGCGCGCACATGTTTGGGCCACCATGTAGTCTTCTGACACACAGCCAGCTTTCAGTTGGCGTCGGCCTTTTGGTGGAATTCCACGTACAGGTACGTAACAATGCAGCCTCAAATTTTCCTCTTCATATTCAGCCCATGCACGCACCAAGTCTCCGCGGAACAGCAGGAATGCGCCCGCGTCGAGTGACAACAGTTTGCATCTGTCCATTTCTGCATAGACTCCAAAATAGCCAGGATAGACGTAGAACTGTGTGTCTGATTGAAGAGCAATAATGACAGACGCCTGAACAATACCCTTTTCCAGTTTCGCTTTGCTTGTCTCGAATGAAGGAAAATCTAGGTGGATGCCTTGGCGAAGGCCCCCCGGAAGTGATTTCAATGCGTCCAAATAGACTTTTTGGTGTCCCAATTTTTATCAGATCCTTCCCACAATACCCTTCACTCGCTTGTATATTTTGTTTGTAGCCGGACCAAATGTAGCAATAGGAGCTTGAAGACGGAAATGGTCACGTTCTACTTCATACACTTCACCAAAAATAGGTCTGAAGTCCAGTTGCTCGATTTCCTGTTTAGCTTTCTCCAAAGTGTGAGGCGGTAGTCTTAAGTTTCCGACAAGGTAGCCTTCATTCCAGAATTGCGCCCTTTAGACTGGCATCCATAATGACTGACACCTCGCCACACTTACTGGCCAGGTACACACGTGAAGGAGCACACAGGTCGTGTCAAGTCGTAAATGTGGTTGAGGTACTCGCCAGCAGAGCGGACCAACGGCTGTAGCTTCACGCGTCTAACACAACGCACGTCTGAAAGCAGCAGCCTCTTCACGACGAACAGCAAGTAGGTGCCGACTGCGAGGCTTCTTGGGGGCAATACTGACTCGTTAACAGAGTCTTCAAGGCTTCAGACGACGGAACAGACACCTCGGTGGCGTTTGGGTTGCAAGTGCGGCTTCTGGTGGCGGCTCAGACTCTTCTGGCAGTGGTGGCGGAGCTCGTGCTTGGGGGAAGGCACTGCGTCGTGATTGTTGTGAGCGGGTGGATTTGGACGGGGTTGCAGGCTGCTCAAGCGACGAATTGGGGCTTCTTTGGTAGTTCTCGAGTGATAAAACACTGGTTACCAAGCAGTACTTGGTAGTACCCTCGGAGGCTTAACTACCAATGGTACTTAAGCCTCCGAGGGCGTCATCGTTTACAGGCGATGACGTCAATATAACACTGCACTGGTACAGTACAATGTCGTCGATTGTTGTGGACTGTAGATCTGTCGGTGTGGATTATCCTTAAAAAAACTGTGGATTTTTCATATTTCCTCACTTATCGTACGTCCAAAAATGTACGCTGTGTGAGTTCTACACTTTTTTCTCGAAGCACGTTTTTACGTAACAATTGTGTGGTACCTCAAGTTGAGTCGAATGAGAGGCGAGCACCGGCGACCGACTCCGCATCTAGGCGCGTTTATTCACGATAGGAACCGATACAAAGACAACCCCCCAGATTTCTATGCGCTGGGGCAGCAATATCCAGAGTTCAAGCAGTAGTAAGTAATCCAGCAGATACATTCGAGGTATTCAGCTGAGAGTGACTGTGCTGTCTACAGTCTGCGCAACGTAGACGATGACAAATGCCGAGCATGTCTAGCATGGGACGATCCTTTTGCCGCCAGGTACTTAAAAGGACGCATTTTATTTGGCAGCATGCGTTAAATCACTGCACTACTACGTGTTGACCAGGGAGCTGACAAAGACGTTGTTGCTGCACGACTTTGGGCTGCATTGGGATATCCCCATTAATCGTCTCTGTCCTCCAGTACGTGTACACGTAGTTTTGTCAGTACCAAATGCCGAGGCCTCAGCTCACATTTCTTTTTATTAGCTGCCAAACCGCTTAAATTATCTCCACTGGATCGAAGATCTACTCATTCAACTGACCCGTCAAGGACAACAGCAAACTGATCAAAACCTAACCGAAACGGTTGTATCTGGTATTGACGTCGGGACGGGTGCCAACTGCATCTACGCGTTGCTGGGTGCAACGATGAACAAGTGGAAGTTTATCGCAACCGAGATAGACTCTGATTCCTACCAATGCGCGAAAAAAAATGTGGCTCGGAATCAACTGGAGCCGCTAATCTCTGTCAAGCGGACGC